AGCATAGTTTAGTCTAATAATTTATTTTTATTCTAATATTTATTCTAATTAAATATTATTCTAATATTTCTGCATGTCTCTTCTCAAGTTATCCAGGTCCTTATCTTCATCACTTTTGTATATTTTGGGCACATGATTGTCTGTGTATTAGGGTTTATAGATTAAAGCTAGACCTAGGAATAACACGATTGCATAAAATAGTCTTACCTGACAGCAGAGGCAGCTTTGCCAGTGTCTTCATCAGTGGCTTGATATGTGCCCAGGACATAACCAATCAGTTTTTTACTACTTATGCCTTTTTGCACAGTGAATATCTTTGAAGAAGGGCGGAATGAAATTCCTTCTTTGACATTTACGACCTGGACTGTGACTGGGATTGACTGAACTCGATATTGAGAGATTATGGACCGGTGGAATTCGGCTTTGTTTTTGACAGCGATACCAAATTGCATGCTTTGCATTTGTTCATAATCGAGAGGCTGGAGAGAAAATAAAATTCGAAGGAAGGAAGTGTCACAAACCCAATCCAACAAACCTAGCAGAGGACAGAGAGCTTGGTGCAAGAGAAAAGATATAGGATTCTACATCATGAGATTCATTTTGGTAACTGATATTTACAAAGCAGGATCCCTCCTGTTTACGCTAGCAAAACATCACTGTAGTCTTTTTAGGTTGTGAGGTACAGGGGAAAGAATCCTAAATTTGCTGTAGTAACAGAGTGTGAATCTGGGTTCTGCTACTTAAGTGCTGTGTGGCTCAGGGCACAATACTCACCTTCTCTGACCCTCAAGTTTTCACATCTAAAAACAAACCTTACCTCATCAGGTTGTGAAGACTGAAGCTGTCTAGCTAGAGGCAGCAAGACCAGGATGGGGGACAGGTGGGAGGAAGGTCGAGGGGAGTGATATTTTAAAAGATGTTCTACTCAGTCAGGTGTTTGGCTGTGTGTTGTCAGGAAATGTCACAGTTCAAGGGAAAGACCCAGATTTCTAGTCTGGGAGACTGAACAACACCAATACA